GATGGTCCGGCGACTGCAACTGGTCCAGAATCAAGCTGTGCAGCTGGTGAGTGGTGGGGCCGCTAGAGAACACATCAAGCCAATTCTGTTTAAGTTACATTGGTTACCAGTTGCTGCCCGGGCCCAATTCAAAGTGCTTGTTTTGACATATAAAGCCCTAAACGGCTTGGGCCCTGGATACCTGAAGGATCGCCTCCTTCCATATGTGCTTACCCGGCAGTTATGATCTAGCTAGGGGGCCCTTTTGAAAGAGCCATCCCTCAAGGAGGTAAGAGGGACGACTTGTAGACAAAGGGTCTCTTTGGCAGCTGCCCCCAGACAATGGAATGCCCTCCCAAATGAGATTTGTCTGGCGCCAACATTGATGACATTTCGGTGCCAGGTCAAAACCTTCCTGTTCCAGAAGGCTTTTAATTGAAATAAGACAGACAGACAGACAGACAGACAGACAGACAGACAGACAGACAGACAGACAGACAGACAGACAGACAGACAGACAGACAGACAGACAGACAGACAGACAGACAGACAGACAGACAGACAGACAGACAGACATGCTTCAGGATGTGGTGGAATAGTCATCTGTTTGACCTAGCAAAAAACAATGGGCTGTGCTTGTGTGAGGCAAGCTTGTCGCAATACTTTTTGCCTAGGCAAAGCACCCAATCTGAATCTCCTAGAGTTGTAAGGCTGTTCTTTCCTACTATGATTGAAGGCTACAATCCTATCAAAGCAAAAAAACAAACAAACAAAAAAAACAGAAATACTTCTGCTATGGCCAAGTCCAAGGGATTGTGCCACTGACTACATTCATGACAAAATGTGGCCAGATTTCTGTTTTACGATACAGCTTTGCCTAAGGTGTTGAAAGCTGAGTTAGAGAAGAGCTGTTAACTGTGATGGAACTGGAGGAGAAATTTTTACCCCCCAGCAATCACCAAAGTGAGGAAATTGCTGAAAACGTCCAAAATAAGGGGGAGGGAGTGTCCAAATAAGAAATGCTTCAGACCCCTGGGAGTAAAACCCCGCATTTTCTTTTTTGTTAAAGTCAGTCTGTTTGTAATTTTTTGCCAGGAGGATTCTGGGAAGACTTAGGAGCTACAAAAATGTCCCTGGAGACTGCATGCCACCATCAGCTTCTTTTTTTCTACCCCACCCCTGCTTTCTCTCTTTGAATATACAAGGTTTCCCCAAATGCTGCCAGTCTTGCTGGAACTCTTTTTAGGTGTTTTTGATATTCTTTGCAGATTAGCACTGGAAGAGGGAGAGAAAGAAACACAAAAAGATGCATAAAGAGGTGCAAATAAGATATTATCAGCTACAGAAGGCAAGAGACTTGTTTTTGCTGCCTGGATTTTTCTTAGCCCTGTACTGTATCATCAGGTTGTTGTTGTTTTGCATCAGTGCTCTACAAACTTTGCAAAAATAAAATAATTGTTTGACAATAACTACATTTCTTTCATGCCTCATTTCATACCAAGGTGTTCTACTAACAAGGATAAATAACCACAGGAAACAAATGTCATTTGGATGAAACTTTACTCGAGCAACAAGATTGCTGAACAACACCAAAAACCCAGCAAAACCCTTCCTCAGGATTGGAGGAACCAAGCAAGGAGTTCTTCCTCACCTACAGAAAGTGCTGAAAGGGGTTGCCTCTCTTAGACATTGAAAGCCTGTAACAACTCTGGACAGATTATTCTGTTGCTCTTCTGGTTTAAAGTACTGTACTTCAGATTGACGGATGTCACCAAAGACCTTTGAAAAATAAAAAAAAGTTCAAGAAAACAAATATTTATAACTGTGAATATGGCTGACATATTTGCCAAGGCCAAGAAGCGAAATAGCTACAGTATTGCACCCAAACTGAAGCTACATGGAGTTAACAGCCTTGCATACACTGTAGTTAGCAAGCATATTCCAATGAACAGCTAAATAGCTGAAGTAAGGTTCAATCTCATAAGAAGATAAATGGAAAAAGCCTCATTTATTATTATAGTTGTGGTCAAAGTACCTAGAACAAAACACACATACAAGAGCCTCAAAAATGAACACAACATAAACTGCTGTATCCAAACCCCAACAACAACTCTGTTGTATCACGTAAAAAGCTAGTATTAGAGCAGCCATATGGTGTAGTCTGGGGGACCCTGGCACATTTGAAAGGGCACACAGACCAGAAACACACCACCTTATTGGGTTCATTTATGTGACTTATACAATCCTGGTTCATCTTATATTTCTTTCATATTGTGTTTATGGCCATGGACAAACAAAAGGTTGAGAATGGCTGGTCTATACTGGACAAGGACTATGGAAACTCAGGCTCAAACATCCACCTTGCAGTGATGTTCACTACCTAACTTCAGTCTCATGGTCTAACCTACCTCACAGGGCTGCTGTAGAAAGTGGCAATGAAAACTTCAGTTCCTTGGAAGAAATGCATGAAAGTATTGTAGCAGATAGACTCTCTGTGTTGTCATCTTTACTTTTATTTGTTTATTTTACAGAATTAAGCTGGACTTCTAGTTATATTTACATGAGAGTAAGCACCATCAAATGCAGCTTACTTTCAAGAACATATGTATATAGCAGCACTCACTGTCTACGGGATGGCAAAACAGCAACCAGTGGGTGGTTGGGGAATTCCAACATTAGTCTTCGGGCCTACTGTCACAGGGCCTGTCCACTTCCCTTGCCCAACCTTTTTCCCCCGGCATTTAGCTAATCAGGGAGGAGGAAGGTCGTGGGAAGAAGAGTTAACCACAGTCCAAAGTAATTGAGGCACGTAGGAAAATACAGGCAACAGTAATTCAACCTGTTTTTAAACTAATTTTTGAATGCATAACTTGTTGACATTCAAGTGTTGCGAGACATTACCAAGCACAAATCTTTCCCAGACAGAAATCTTTAAGATTTATGAGAAGGTTAAAACAATTATTTCTGAGGAAAAATTTCTTAATGGTTTCTAGATAGAAATACACATTTATCAATATTAACTTTACTACTATTTTTTAATTAGATAAGGGAAATGTTACTTTTCCGTACTGTGTTTATTTATTAGTGATCCACTAAACAGCCTCTTCAACCTGATTCCTATTGTGCTAAATATCCAACCTTTAAATATACAGTACACACAAATTGCCAATAAAAGAGTCTGAATAATAAAAGCAGCAACGGCAGAAGAATGCGATGTAGGATTTTCAAAAAACCTTTTAGCATTCTGTGGCAGCTGTGACCTGGTAAAATCTAATTATTTCTCCAGGACCCTTTGGAATTGTTCAAGAAGATTTGTTACAGTTTGTAGCTGATGCATTAAGCACTTGGCTAGGCTTCACAGACTATGATAGCTGAATGTGCATTCCACATATCTTTTATGAACTTTCCACTGATACATGTAGAGGTATTCTATAACATGCACTACAGCCTGTTGAATTATTTAAACAGACCTAAACTGAGGTTTTCTAAAAATGCCTGCAGAATGAAATTGCCCTAAACTATACTTCCAAACAAAATTCTACAATGCTCTTTACTAATCCAGAGCACAGAGGATTGATCTCTCTGCTTCGCTGATGCAAATGTAAAGTAATGCTCCAGAAAAGAATAGGGTTAAATGCTTCCACCTTCTTTTTATCTTTCAGTGCCTCAGATTCCTAATGATTTCCATAGCCACAGTGTTTATTAGTGACCAAATCTTCAGTGAACTTAATTAAGCTTGGCCTTTCTGCCTTCTGATGCCAACAAAAAGTGCAATCAGTGAACAACAGAGGTCAGCACACAATTCTTATCAGGTGCTTACTTTGATAGCACCAAGTCTTTTTCCTGAACACACAGTGCTATACTAAAAAAGAAGCAAGGAGATAAACTAAACTAAAGAGAATGCAACCAAATACTTCTGATAGTCTCCAACTGACTAGTTCCAGGGGCAACTAATATATATAAGGAAATTTAGACACTGGGAAATGTCAACTGCATGAGGCAAATCCCAGTTAATAAATTACTGGTGAAAGAAAGCTAAATTGCAATAGAAGATGCCAGGTACATTTAAATAGTCTTATCAGGGAGATAAGCAGATGACATGAGTATCTACAATGCTTTATCTGTTCTAATCAGCATTTCCAAACACACAGCCTATAATCCACTAGTCTGCTCATTCCAAGAGCAGTACTGACTTCTATGGCATAGCTACAAAGTAAGATATTGGTGAATACAAGTCCTATGATGAAAATATGTAAAATTTAAGCAGACTAGTGCACACTTTTTCTTAATGGACATGCTTATGATTCATTTTTTTTATAAATGAGAAGAACATATTCATCATAAGGAAAAAAATACTACCAAAAAGGCATTTTAGTATCTCCATTGGAATGATATGTGTTGCAAGAGACTCATTTTCTTCCTTACTCTTGTAAGTAAATGGTTGCTTACTAAATCAATTTCTAAGATATACAGTGTCTTATATTCTTATGGATAAATCCTTATGACTTTGGAAGTACAATGGTACCTTCACCAAATATGTGTCACTAAGAGAATTATTTTGCTAATTGTTCTAACAGTTTAATTATGTCTGATCCTCAGACACTGATTTTAAAGTATAAGAAAGCTTTGTGTGCTGACTAATAAATGTAATCAGCCAGTAAATGTCACTTTGGCCATTCAAAATGACGCCAAATTAAACTGTGCAGAACTGTAGTAAAGCCTCCATATCTGTACCTCCAAATGTTGCCAAAAGGCACTGGGTTTGAAAATAACTGAAATGTTTTAGGCGGGTCTCAAGTCTGCACACAGTAAAACAGCACAGTCCTGGTTCTGACATGTAAACCTCGATTTGCCTTCTCCAACGCCCTCTGGTGTCTGTAATACATATTTTTGACAGCCTGCTTATCCAGTTGCTTAACCGAAGCAAGCCAAAGACCTGCCCATTTATGACATCACCTCTTTTTTCAACCACTGCTAGGTGAAAGCTGTAACTTCAGACTTCGGAGGTGGGCTGTGCGTACGTAACTGGAATGCTTTCCCTCTCACTCCTTCTTGCGAAGGAAGAAGTGATCTGACATAGTAAAAGCTCCTACAATAGCTGCTGCTGCTGCTGCTTTCTGTGTGAGAGATCCGAAGAACAGGAATGTTATAATCGTTAGTGGAATTACTGCTGTTCTGCACTTATAAATGGAAATGCTCTATATTGCTTTATACTTCAGCTTGCTGGTAAGTCATTTTCATTGCTTTCTTCTAATTTGCCCTCAACTTTTATCTTTCCCTTCCTATCAAAACTGTCAAATTTTAATGAAAGCAGAGGTAAGGGAGAGCAAGAGATTGTTCAAGCCTACATTTCTATGCAAAAGTAGTGTCTGTAACCATATATAAGGCTTTTTAAAACTAAAAACACTATCTTATTTTTATTCTTACTACTTTGTATTCAAAACTAGCTCCTTACAAGCATTGCTAGCTAAATAATCAAGCTGCTGACTTCGCAACTGCACTCTAAATACTGGAGAACATCCTAAAATTCAAGCCCTACCTTTTCTAGTGTGGCCAGAGCTATGTATGTGGCATCTCCTATGCTCCCTTAATACTCATGCTTACAGCTATGAAAGCAGATTGATAATCCTTTAGAAAATGAGTGCTCTCTCTAGGAGCAAATCTCTTAAGCCTACTTGGAAGAAGTTTTATAATTCTTTGGAAAGGATAAATGAACAGCTACACCTAGGTTTTTAAACTTGCATTGCTGTTCTTCCAGGTCGGTAATGTGGAAAGCCATTAATTGATGGATGCAATCTAACATTTAAACATGAATATATGTAGACATGCATGTGCATGCACATGTGCACACGTGCACACACAATATTCTTTCCTTCCCTGTAATGGCAAACTTCAATGCTTGGACAAATACGGTATGTGATCTGCATAACAAACCAATAAATCTTGCAAGTCAAATTAACAGACCTAAGATTTTCAGAGGATCAGGCAGGCAAGCAGTGGAGACAGAAATGGCCATACTTAATTTTAAAAATAATCATCTGTGTTTGTATTGTATTGTATTCCAAATGTTTTGAAGTAGTCTGTTCTCTTGAAAACTGTTTTTAAGTTTTAAAATCATACACAGCCATTTTAAAAAAAAATTATGTTCAAAACAGTGAAATTAATACTGAAAAGAAAATTCTAGGGTACATGTGCAAAACAAAATGGGTTGAAACAGTCTAAGAATTCAACAGGCCTAGTTTTTCTAAGAATTCTTAAACTGTAGTTGTAATTGTAAAAATAGAACAGAAGACCACCCTAGCTTAGTTACATAATCTTGATTCCTAGTGGAAATTCTACCTTTAACAAGCTTTCTCTATGACAGTTGGAGAAGTCAATATTAATAATTTATCTGCCTATATCCCATTTAGACTAAGAAAAGTTCCTCGCAGAGTATATTTGGCCTAATAAGCATAATTCTATATGGTATAATCTTATACTATGGCTGCTTCATCTTCATGAATATGACAACTGTATTTCTGTTTCTCTGCAGTGCTTGTCAGCTTAGATCTGTCCAATTGTTATGCTTTGCAGAAGGCAATAAGGTCAATTATTGTATTAAAATCATCAGAAAGTATTGCCCACGTTACTTTATATGAAGTTGCCAATTATTACTTTAGATCCAGAAGTTAAAAATCAATATGCAATTTAAGATTTGAACTACATGAGTGATGTGAACTGTAACTTTGTTATAGGTGGAACCATTACATTTAGAAAGTTGACAGAAGTGAAGCAAATAAGGTTTAGTGGCATGTACAGAACTATATGAACATGGGTAATTGCTTAATTGATTTTAGAAAAATATTAGCAGGGAGGTTGCTTTATTAATTTTTTAAAAAATATTAATAGAAATGGAATTACCATGTGCACGATTAAGCCCTTTCATCAAGTTGATATAATCAATTAATATTAATTACAAAATCTCTACACAATTAAAACACTTTCATAAAAATTATGATGGAAGAACCATGGATTTCATACTTGTTTTCAACAGTTCAAAAACATCCTTTTATAATACAGGAGAAGTTTAATTGACATTTGAGGTCTATCAGAAACCTGGCAGATTATTTGTTACTTTTAGCTCCATTCCTATGTGACACTGTGCCCTCAGGTTTTCAGGAACCTTTATCTAAATGAAAAACTCAATGGGTTTAAAGACAGCTATTCCGTGTATCATTACATTTTTCTTATCACTGCTTATTTACCCTTGACTAAAGATGAAATGCAGTATAATTTAACATGATTTGCCCTTCCAACATGCCAGACACCAGATTCAAGAGCATAGGATTCATAGAATCAGTACATTTTGCTGAAAGAGGATTTTCTACCTTTTTAAATTTCAGGATTTCCCTTTAAAATCTCCTTCCACTTAAAGCTTCCAGCTCCACCCACCTCCAGTTCTATCTATTTACCTTTCCCCCTAAGGAAATGTGGCTAGATTCTGACTCCCAACATTATATGTTTATTCAGAAGCTCCACACACACATACACACACACCGATCGATCGATCGATCGATCGATCGATCGATCGATCGATCTATCGATCTATCTATCTATCTATCTATCTATCTATCTATCTATCTATCTATCTATCTATCTATCTATCTATCTATCTATCTATCTATCTATCATCTATCTATCTATCTATCTATCTATCTATCTATCACTTAATTTTGGAGCTGATTCTTTCTGGAAAAGAAGAACAGATACCATTATAAGAAATTCTTTTTTCCAATGTGAATTCCCACCCCTTTGAAATAATCAAGTCTTCTCCCACCAGAAACTAGGCAGCAACCTTAAAAAAAACAGGCTTGCAGTCAGCGTAAAGACATTTCTTGCAGTGTGTGCTACCCCCCAGTGGGCAGAATGTCTCTGCTAAAGTCACAATAATTTTAGCCTTCTAAAAACAGAGCTGCCTTAAATGAAGAAGAACTCATGGCTTTATACTGTATTTTTACATTAAAATGTGTAAGATAAGCAATCTTTAATTTTAGAGCATACAGAGAAGATAATTTGTTTAAAACAACCAATGTATCTTTTCAGTGTACAGCAAAATCCCAACACTTATTCTAAGAATCCCACACACTGGTTATTCAAACAGAAATATGTGTTTTGGATCAAAATCTAAGTAAGTTAACTACATATAAACACACTGCAAGTTTCAAACTGGGGTTATTAAAACATATTTTCCAAAATCAGCAACAGTATACATAAATGACCTCATAAATTGTTTACTATAGCTACTACTCCAGCAAAATATATCAAAGCAAAGCTTGGTGAAACTTTCAAGGATCACAACCATTGTTTTTAACTGTAGCTAAGATAGTTTTGCAACTTTTCCAAGATAATCAGAAGGCCACAGATGACAAAGGCTGCAAGTAAGCTACTTGGAAGTCAGGCCCACTGAACTCAGAGAGATGTACTTCTGAAGGACAGAATTATACTGTAAGGCTGCAGAACAAAGTTTAGTGATCTGCAAATAAGCCCCTCTGAAACGCATATGCCTGCATTGTGAACAAAGATAAAAAGGGGTTGGTCAGATCGTGAGTTTTCCAGGAGTACAAAGAGCTATTTTTGGTGCCCTTCTTCAATGTGTGAACAAATTACAATTTAGCATTTAACCAGATGTTTGTGATTTCCATTGATGGGGGCCGGAGAAGAGAGACCAGATTTTTAAAATAATAGTTTAAAAGATCATCAATATATTCATCTGGCTTCTTTCTGGATCAGAGTTACATTTGCACTGAAACCTATAATTATCTTTATTCTCTACCAAAGTATCAGTGTAGTTCATATATGCTGCAAAAAAAGAGAAAAGAATCAAGCTTACTTTTTCTTTTCAGCATGACTAAGGTGATGTACCAAATTAAGCTGGCTTTGTTCACTATAACTTTAATATAAACCATATGAGAAAACTGTTTACTTCCCTGTTCATGATTTATAAAATTAACTTATCAAGGGAAAATGGAAAGCATGCCTAAATATTTTGAAAATTGAGTATTTCAGTGGGATACAATTGTGAAATCAATTATTTCTGTAACTCAAAAAATATGTTACTGAATGAAGAATTAAAAATAAGGTTGAGTAGATCCCTTCTCAACAAAGCCTGACATTCTTTAGCTCCCAGGAAGATTTTTTAAAAGCTTCTTCTGCTTGACTAACATTAAACAAAAGGATGGGGCACCTTCCTGAAATACTACACTCCTGAAAATTGTAGCTACTAGACAGGGTGCTTAGAAAGCATTTTGCTGTCACTATTAACTAGCCCTGAGTAGCGCACTTAAGAAAACAATGTTATACACTTTGCTTTCAATTCAGCTGAGTCATGTTTAACCAAAATAACTTTGTGTAGTTTTAAAATAGCAGCCAAAGACTACTTAAGATTGTAGGATGGCTGATAAAAATCCATGCAGTAATCTCAACACACTGGCTTTCTTCAGAGATAAATCAAACTGGCTATGCAAAACCAAAATTGCTGAACGATCACTTTCTTACAGCAAAGCAGAATTAATTCTGCTTGTCATCCTGATGACATTTATAGCCTGAAGAGATATATTTCAAACTATAAAACACTGCTGTGGACAGATGTTAGTATGAAACTGGTCTTTCACACCAGTGTCTCTTCAGTGAGTATACATGATTGCAAACTCTTATTACTCTCAATTTTTGTAAGTACAGGATAAGAACAAGTAGCATGTAATGAGAGTTTGTATTGCTAAATAGGATTCCCTGCCCATTACATTTTTAAAATCAAAGGACATAACAGAAAATATAGAGCAAAAGACTCCTTTGAATAGCTTCATCACTTGTACAGTGATGAAACTAAAAGGAGTTCATATCATGTTTACGTACTTACCTAACATGATTGAACAAAGAAATTGCACCAGCCAGGTATAGGAACTTCGGTCTTTTTCAGTCTCTATGTGTGAGCCATATAGACCACAAAGAGATATTTAGAAACTAAAAGAAATACTTGTGAATCAGGATTTCTTCCATTTTCTTCTTGTTTTGTTCAAAATTAATGTTCTCTTTGAAAACCATGGGTCCATGAAGTTCCTAACTTGCTCTTGTGAAAATCTGGCCACAGTGTCTTTTAACAGTGGGGGACATTTTTCTTTTCATCCCAGCAAACTCAGCTATAATGACTTGGTGCCAGGGAATATGTAAGGACTGTTGGAGAAAAAGGCAAGGTTGAGCTAGGCAGCAGGATTCCCTTCTGTGTAGACAGATCACTGCTACCTTTATTATGCAAACACAATGTTTTCAACTCTCATTTGAAAAATAAAAGGGAAGTGCAAGATATCAAACAAAATAAAAACTAAAGAAAACTGTTCTTACTTCCAACTGAAAGAAAGAGCAGGGAAGAGAAGCTTAATCCACTTTTTTAAAAAAAGCCTCCCCCCCCTCCATTGGTACCCACTTTATTTTATCCCTTTGTTTTGATGTAATTTTGAGAGAAGGGATTTATAAAACCCAAGAACATAATGAGCTTTAGTGCTTTAGTTTTAATCCAACATTGCTGCTCTTACAATAGGGGCAATAAATGAGGGTTTGAATATCAAATGGCGCAAAAGGGAAGGATTTTAAGCATCTGTGGAATGAAATAACATTCTCTGCTCTCAGGAAGAAGTGTGATGCTCTCTTTGACTAAAGCAAGGCATTCAAATGTTCTATATGATCAATTCTACTTTAACATCTAATGTGCCCAAGAAGAGTGGTAATTAAAATTGACTGTTTAAACTAATAACTTAGGTAGTTCAACTTTTTATTCTTACGGAGGTCTTAAGAATACCACTAAATGAATTACTCTTTCCTACTTTCTTTGAAATTTCCTTTTCTCTTAACCAAACTTATTACGAAGGTCAATAGTATGTTTCTCTCTCTACAGCGATTAACCAAATTGATGAAAACCTTCCAAAAAAGATTGTAAACTTTAGAAGTTCGTGATTTGCTCAACAGAACAGCTGAGCAAATAAGGCAACTTGTTAATTACCAGGCAATAATCTGCTAGTTATTTGTCAGGCTTTAGGATTAACTTTCATTTCATCTAAAGGTAGCTATGCTAAGCATGTCAATCATTCCTTTCCCATTATCTTAAAACAATCTGTCTCAATAGCATCTGCTAAATTTATTTAAATTTTAAAAATCTGCTTTGAATACATATTTCTATAACTGTGAAAGAGTAAAATAAGCAGATACTAGAATTAACAGCAAACATTACGTAAACCTTCTCATCATAATCTAAACAGTTTACATACATTTTGCACAAACACTATTTTCTATCAACTACAATTATACTTTTGTCCCTATATGCAGCTCACATCTATTAGTTCACAGATGTTTTGGATACATATGAAATACTGATGATGTAAAACTATGGTTCCTAACCTTGGGTCCCCAGATGTTCTTAGCCTAAAATTCCCAGAAGCCTTCGCCACTAGCTGGGAGGGCCAGAATTTCTGCAAGTGAGTTTGTTTTATTTATAGGCCATCTTTCTCCCAAAAAGGCCACCCAAGGTGAGTAAGCACTGATCTAAAACACCCAGTGGATATTATGGTAACTTATTTATGAATATCAGAATGCTGAGTGATCCGAAATACATGCACTCAATGACAAGTCCTCTTGTGTTCTGTGAGGCTCATACCATAGTCAGTGAGTTCAGGATTGTAATCTAAATCAAATTTGGAGAGTTGAGAAGAGAAAGCTACTTGCCTGCAGACAGAGTAACAATTTAAAAATGTTTTCACAGCAGGACATCACTCCAGTGTTAGTTTTTATGCACAAACACACAAAATTAATTATCTGAAGTGCCAAAACAAAAGATACTTCAACAAAAGCATGTCTAATAAACAGAGGCACATTCCATGTACAGCAAAAAAAAACTGAGAACATGGGTCAAAAAATTCTTTTTACAAAGAATTAAAAAATATGGCCTCATTTTCAAATCCAATTCAGCAGTTAGAATTTTTAGCCCTAAAATTATCTGACTCTTCTATAGAGGACTAGCTTTCTAAGGAATTCTGAATCACAGTCACAAAAGTACGGTAAGAATATTTGTTCAGCAGACCAAATCATTATACTATGCATACGTTACTGAGCAAAACTTGGTTATTTTGCAGTTTAATTGCTAACTATGTTGTTTCCTAAAAGCTGAAAACCACCAGCACTAGGGAATGCATCCCATCAAAGGAATCTATGCCCTGGTTTGTAATGCAAAGAGTCATGTCCTGTATTTGCAACACAGTTTCTCTTTGGTCTGTTGATCAAAGATGACAGATTTTCAGTACTGTTTTGTTTGGACTGATTTCATGCAGTAGTTGAAGCTAATAAAAAAGTTTGCCTGATTTAAAAAATATCACATTTTTGCTTATATATTGTTTCTATAAAGATGCTTCTTTAGAACATAACTGCTAAGTCAAGGAAAGTATGCACAAGATCATTCTTCATCCTTTTTTCTTGATAATGATTATTGTTCTTCTTCTTCTTCTTTGTTTGCTTGCTTTCAAAGGCAATGACTGAATGAAATTTCAGAAAGGAACGCCTGTTCCGGTATTAGCATGTTTCTGTTTCTTCAAGAAGAGATGACACTGAGTTAAATTAAACACAGCTAAAAACAACTGAGTGCCTGAATTTGAACACAGAATGAGAAAATATTCAGAGCTTGAAAATCTGATCAAGCACTAAATGAATGGTTCAACGCAGCAGGCATGGATTTATCAGGCCACATCTGCTGTTCAAAGTTCATAGTTGGATGATTCCAGAGAGAGGGGGAAAGTCTCTGTCCTCATTCTACTGAAGAAGCCATGATAATCCAAGATTTAGAATCATCAAAGGTTTTGAACACATGAAGCTGAAGCCACCATCTCTAACCACACTATATAAAAGAGCGTCTAAGAATTACAAGGAGAGCAATTTTTGTAAAGGGCATTAAACGAAAACAAAAGAGGTTCTTCACACAGAGACTTGGGGGGAAAAAAGACAGTACCCTTTCTTCTTCAAAGTCTCCTTCCTGTGGAGAAACAGGAGCCTGAAGCTTTTATCCTCAACAACTTGATGTGTTCATGTATCATGACAAAACTTTACAGGAATATTCAATGAATAAAGTGGAGCTCCCAGGGAAAAATATAATTTAAGCTGCTACTGTGGAAAAAGTACAGCAACATGAACTAAACTATAAAATTCCTGTCAAGTCAACTGGTTTCAGGAAAACTGTATACCCCCTCCATTTTAAGAAGCACAAAAGGTTCCTTCACATCTTTAGATAAGGTAAGATTATGTATGTAATGCATTAATCTAATGTTTTGTTTTGCCAACTAAAACAATAAAATGTAGAAAATAATGAGAGAAAACTGTAGCAATTTACTATTCTCTAAAGGAATGAAAGAGCCAAACATGAAAAGCTAACAGCACTTCTGGCTTACAGAGTGCTGAAGCAAGTCCTGTCAGTGCAGCCCAGTTTCAAAACTGCATAAATAATAAAGACAGGAAGTTTAATGTAAAAGCCAGAGAAAAAGTCACATCAAACATATAAAGCCTCAAAAGCAAGACAGAATATCAGGTACCAAGAATACCAGTACAGTATGTTTATTAAGTTATCCCTTGCAATTATCTCTGTCTTTTTCTCTGTCTTGTTTGAATCAAAAACCATTATATATTTTTAAACAACTACTTCTACATTTTAACTTTATGGGGGTGGGGGAACAACAGAAAAAATCATTAATTATAATATAACATACAAGAAATATTCTATTATTTATTTTGTCTGACCAGAATCCAGTGGGGTACAATACTGGTTCATGAATTGCATCCAAGGCGAAAATGAATTGAAACAAATCTAATTTAAGAAGTCCAATTCCTTAATTCTACTTTCAACTGAGCAGTTTGCACTGGTGAACTTACTTCATCAATGTTCATCACAATTATACCATACAATCTCTAATCATACACCCAGTATTTGCTTTAGAAAATCAGTGATTCAGGCCACTGACCCATTAACAACCTACATATCAAATAAGGGAGGGCTGCCACATGTAACTGAGTTTTAATAGCATCAAGTACTAATATTTAGAGAAAAATGGGAAATCTGTAGTCTTATAATGTAAGTACGTCATAATTTTGAGGTCTCAGCTCCAATACTGTACAAATAACTGTGTTGTCAACTACATACATGCAACAGGCTTCTGAAGCTTTTCTTTCTGAAAAGAAGGTTGTCACTGCAGCCAAACTAATTTCAGAAATAGGTTCTGACACAGCTATTAAGGGAAGGGGAGGAGAGGGAAGGGAAGGGAAGACAAACAAAGCAAAGCAAAGAAAGCCCCTCAGATATGCCTAAAAGAATCTTTTGATTGTGGCATTACAATGCTTGAAATTAGGCCAAGAATGAAATCTGAGGGGAAGGGGAAAGGGGAATCTTAACTCTCATATAAATAAAGGTGTAAATCAGTCTGTGGGTACTGTTAGACAAAGGACTCCCTCTGTTTATAACTGTAAAAAAGGTGTGCAGCTCTACCATTGTATTTCCTTATTTCACTTTTTCTATTTAAAAAAATGAAAAGGTTGAGATATGGGACAAACCAGTGGAAAACCTGGGAGGGCTACAAAGAGGCAACAGCATCCAGGTTGCATATAAGCTTGTACGATTGAAACTGCAGTTGAACAAATACAGGCCTCATTTGGAAGCACCCTAAGAGTCAAAACTACGTGACCATGGAGAATATATGAACAAAACCCAATGTAACTGCAAATTCATAGAAGTCAAAACATTTTGGGAAACAATTCCATTCACATGTATCAAAGAGTATACCCCATGTAACATGTTGGTACTTATTTCCAAATAAACATATACAAGATTGCACAGTTAATTATGGTATTTTATTATTATTTCAAATTAGTACTGTACCTCTATGTTTTACTATTAATCTGTTTTTTTTCCTCCTAGATTGCTGAAAGCCAAACTCTAGCCTGCGTACAAGCATCATTGCAACTTGACCATGATCACTGTAACCTGGAACTTCATTCTAATTTGGACAAAGATAGGGCTGTTGCTCAAAATGGCACCTCATTTTATCAGTGCCAAATCATGCCCTTCAGTGTGCCGTTGTGATGCAGGATTCATTTACTGCAATGATCGTGATCTCACATCAATTCCTACAGGGATTCCAGAGGATGCTACAACCCTTTACCTTCAGAACAATCAAATTAACAATGCTGGAATTCCTTCAGACCTAAAAACCTTGATCAAAGTTGAGAGAATTTATTTATACCACAACAGTTTGGATGAATTCCCTATCAATCTCCCGAAGTATGTCAAAGAACTACATTTGCAAGAAAATAACATAAGGACAATTACTTATGACTCACTTTCACAAATTCCTTATCTGGAAGAACTGCATTTGGATGATAATTCTGTTTCTGCAGTTAGTATTGAAGATGGAGCCTTCCAGGATAATATCTATCTCAGACTTCTTTTTCTTTCTCGAAATCACCTTAGCACCATTCCCTGGGGCCTTCCTAAAACAATAGAAGAGCTGCGCTTGGATGATAATCGTATTTCCACAATTTCGGAGCTGTCCCTTCAAGACCTTACAAATCTAAAACGCCTAGTTTTAGATGGAAATCTCTTAAGCAATCATGGATTAGGAGACAAAGTCTTCATGAACCTAGTCAATTTAACAGAACTCTCATTGGTCCGTAATTCCCTTACAGCAGCACCAATAAATTTGCCAGGCACAAACCTGAGAAAGCTTTATCTGCAAGAAAACCATATAAATCATGTACCACCTAATGCATTTGCATACCTACGGCAGTTGTATCGATTAGATATGTCAAACAACAATCTCAGCAATTTACCTCAGGGTGTCTTTGATGACCTGGACAATATAACCCAACTGTTTCTTCGTAACAACCCTTGGCGGTGTGGGTGCAAAATGAAATGGGTTCGTGACTGGTTACAGACACTGCCACTCAGAGTAAATGTACGTGGACTGATGTGTCAGGCACCAGAAAAAGTGCGTGGGATGGCTATCAAAGACCTCAGTGCAGAACTATTTGACTGCAAGAATGATGATATTGTAAGTACTGTCCAAATTACTGCTTCAGTACCAAACACTTTATACCCTGTGCAAGGACACTGGCCAGTTTCTGTGACCAAATCACCTGAAATTAAGACTCCAAATCCACATAAAAACTACAGAACAACAGCTACCCCAGTACAGGAAATCATTACCATTACGGTAAAATCTGTAAGCACTGAGACTATTCATATTTCTTGGAAAGTTGCACTACCCATGACTGCTTTAAGACTCAGCTGGCTCAAAATGGGTCACAGCCCTGCCTTTGGATCTATAACTGAAACAATTGTTACCGGAGACCGGAATGACTATCTGCTTACAGCACTTGAGCCAGATTCACCATATCGTGTATGCATGGTTCCTATGGAAACCACTAACATTTATGTGTCTGATGAAACACCTGTTTGTATAGAGACTGAAACTGCACCCCTTAAAATGTACAACCCCACGACAACCCTAAATCATGAACAAGAGAAAGAACCTTACAAAAATTCAAACTTGCCCTTAGCTGCCATCATAGGAGGTGCAGTGGCACTAGTAGCTATAGCACTGCTTGCTTTAGTCTGCTGGTATGTCCATAGGAATGGCTCCTTGTTCTCCAGAAACTGTACATATAGCAAAGGACGGAGGAGAAAAGATGATTATGCTGAAGCTGGAACTAAGAAGGACAATTCTATCTTAGAAATCAGAGAGACTTCGTTTCAGATGATCTCTTTGAACAATGAACAAGTGTCCAAGGAGGAGTTTGTAATACATACCATATTCCCACCTAATGGAATGAATCTGTATAAAAACAACCACAGCGAAAGCAGTAGTAACAGAAGCTACAGAGACAGCGGTATACCGGATTCAGATCACTCACATTCATGATACTAAGAGGAATAAAAGACCTTGGGACGGTTGATATTTTTTCTCACAAAGAAAGGCAATTTTAAATGTTGCCGGCCTACTGAAGAACACTGGATTAAAAGACTGAATAAGCAATGTATTGTACATTTGCCATATAATTTATATTTAAGAACTTTTTATTAAAAGTTTCAAATTTCAGGTGACTGCTGCGATTAATGTAGCAAGGATGTCTGAAAACAATTCTATATTTTAGTATTTTTTAGTAATTTGTACTGTATTTTCCTTGCTAATATTGAAATTACAGACCATTTAACTTTTGTGTTCTGCTGAGTACAATGACTTGTTGACTGTGAAAGTGAATTTTCTTGCTGTGTTGAACAATCAGGACTTTGCATACGTTTGAGATCCTTGTGAGTATAAGCACAGGCCATGTTCACTTTGGTATTCACAGAAGGTTAAATCTGGCAAACTGACAGTATTCAGAAGCGGCTGCAAAATGAATCAAAATACAATCCTGGGTACATTAAACAATGTATTAATGTAAAACAAAAAAAGTTTAATAAGTCAAATGTGAAAAGTAGTGGGCAATTCTATAATCAATAAAATGATTGTTAGGGCCTGCCATAAATGGTTGAAATTTAGATATGGCAGTTGAAATAAAAACAGAAGTACACATTGCTATATAGAATCAGATATGACCCTGTAAACAAGAAAGAGTGCTCTATTTCTAGTTACTAAATCTTCCATTCTAGTCTTGGGGAACAAAAGATTTAAAAAATCTATGTCTTCTTAAACATGCAAGTATCAAAAAAATAAAACTTATTGTATACACTAAAGGACAGCTTGTACAATGGATACAAACAGGGTTTATGAAAAATACTGCTAAAGCATACACTGAATATGCAAAGAACTATCATATATACTATATACATTTCAACTGCCATCAAGAATATTGCCCATTACTGTCACAGTTATTTGGAAATTACATTAATAAACATGCAAGTGAAGATATCTTGATCTGGCTTTCTACTTAGTTGTGACCTATTTAATGCTTAATACCCAAGACAATTTGTTGCCATAACTATTCCCCAACCCCAAATGAAACCAAAGTGCATTGTATGCCCTTTGGCCAGACTTGTATGTGCCTTTATCTAAAGTGACACATGTTCCACTTTTAACTGGGAACAAAGTTTTCACACACATACACTTAATCATGGAAAGATATTGGTCTCAATGCTGAATAAAATATAAAAAAGTACAGAAAGTAAGTGCTCTTTTTATCCTCTGTATATAAATTAAAATGTGTTGCATAATGGATTATGTTCAAGTTCTCTCTTTCCGCACCATACCCACCAGAGAGAAAGTCAGGGCAACAAAGCACACGCCTGAACTAACTCTTGGTTCAACATAACAGCATGGTATTTAGTAGGAAGTTTACTCCAGCCACAGTTAAAATGTAACAGAATATAAGGAAGCGAACTAAATAGACCTATATGAGTAAATAAATATAAGTAGATTTTTCAACAGTTTTTACACTAGTTGAGTGATAGGACAATTGGTTGTTGGTATGGGGTAGATATGGGATGTGGCAATTCCTTTCCAACTTATAGCTGTATGGTTATCTCCTTCAACTTTATTATGTGTCAGCCATTTGTGGCTCACAAAAAGTTATAAAGTGAGTATTTAGAATGATGACAAACAAGCATAGTGACTCTTAAGACTACACAATGTTGAATAATACCTTCCTGAACCATAAGTACACTACAAAATCCTCTACAACAAAGGAATCTGGATAGCATACCACATTTTCATAAGAAAAAGCTCTCACTTTGCTTCACAAAAGACAACAAAAAACTAAAGATTGGACTACTTTATTCATTAAGAAAACAGTGTGATGTCACACATTTATTCTTCAAACATATTGGAACAATAATCTGTCAGAAAATTTTGTACTACTTTTTAGCCACTGTGTTCATATATCAGACAACTTCTTGTGGCATAGGATATAGTCATTCTTTCTGCCCCTCTCTCATACATACACACACGTATACTATATAGGATCTCGTAACTTTTCAACTAAAGCCAATGTCACTTAGGATATGACACACAAATTAAGGACCTTCATGGTCAGTGAATTGTAGAACAAGAGCGGGCCAAAAGTGGCTACCTATTCTTTCAACAGGAACAGCTAGACAGCTTTGCAAGTTAATACTGGCTCAGAGAAGAAAGAACTGGACAGCTGTAGCTACTGGCCATAATCTGATGCCCAGAAAGCCACCTCTTCCTCGCCCCAAAATGTTCCCTGAAAATATGGAGTAAGGGAAGCATTTAAAAATCATATAGTACTGGCCCGATTACAAAGTTCAAGCTTAAAGGATGTCCTTTAAGAATGCCCTCGGGTCAAACAGTAGCCATAAAACTGATGTATTAAAAAGATGAATGCCACAGCAATCCCATCCCCCATTCATCAATCTAAAACATTCCAAATTCTTCCAAGTAAACTATTTATTTGCCATTACTCTCTTCAGCCTCATTGCTAGGAAAGACTATTTAGCATAAGAAACTATCTGTAGAAATCATTTATTTTTCACAAGCTATATTTTTCAGAAATTCATACTAAAATAATAAAATTATCAATTTCTAAATATTTCAGGTCACTGATCAGGACTTTAGTATCATTTCAATACTGTACTTGCAACTAATATTTAAAGTGGGGGTAGGTCGGTCGGTCGGTCGGTCGGTAGGTATGTGTACCTACTTTACCTTACACAGCAAATTCTCCCATATAGTAACAAAGCCTCACATATACACCCAGCTCCTTTATGCAGAAATGCCTACAAAGAATTTTTATTCCTCCATAGAACACTTCTTGGCATGCTTCTTTTTAAAAGGGACTTTGGTGACAAGCAGGCAACAGTTTATACAAATGCATTTCTAGAACATTGAACAACCCATTCTTTCTGAAACTGGACTGAAGAATTACAACCAAAACAAAAGCCATTTTAGTGAATTTTTACTTAGATGCTGCAGTATTGTACCTTCAGGCACTTAAGGAATGATCTTCACCATGCCTCAGTAGCCACCAAAGGGTTCATTCTAGCATGTTAGGAAGTGATGAGTTTTTTACCATATAAGTTATCCTCACAGAACCTATTTACTATTTTAAAAACTTGCATGGTAATCTAACCTCCTTACCATGTCCAAACGCAATATGAGGCCTGGGTCTTAATTGCCAAAAAATAGTTCTTCATGATCTGGAGAGATGAAAAAAGTTGTCTTCTAAAATAGAATTCCATATTAAGCAAAATATGCTTCTGGATGTGGAATGCATAGCTTATTTTTCTGCTAACTTGACTTAAAATAACTCCTCTCAGTTTATTCTGGATATAAAGACTTTTGCATATCATAGTGTCATGATATGAAAACATTTGTCACATGTTTCTCAGAGTACTGCCCGTTGCCTAAAATCATGTTATGAAATATTACACTGCACAAGGCTGCTGATGTCATCAGCCAATGGCCTTTTCTCACAAATTAAAATATCCTATTCCCCCACCCCAAGGTTTGCTTAACATTCCTTTTATCCTGGGGAAGCTTTTGGGGGCCTTGGACACAGAGAGGGAAATTTTTAAAGTCTGAAAAACACTGCCACTGGTTCTGTATGGTACGAATAATTATCCATTACAGTACAGTACTTGAGAAAACCAACTGCATCCCTGGCTACCCTGTTCTGCAATGATGTGTCTAAGCCAGGTCACTTAGGAGAGAAGGTGGTGGTTCGGTTGGATACTTGATCTACTGAAGACAAAAAATGTTTAAAACAGGTAGGAAGAAACAAAGATTCTAACATTGCTCCTAAAATCAAGCAGTCACCTTGAATTTTTCCATTTCCACTCTTTTTTTATTTGTATAAGAAAGTTGCACAGTTTAAAAATTATGTACTTTACACATATGAAATATAGGTAAAATTATAAGCAAAATAAAATATTAAAATATTTTAATATTAAAATGGTAAAATGACTAGACTGTGATTGACCAGAAGCAGGCTACTTCAGCTATTAGCTAGATCTTCTTTTGTACACGTGGTGGGCTATACATTCTATATACACAAGTACTGTATTGACTGAATATCTTCACAATCACAGAAAATTAGTTCTGTATCCAAGTAGCTCCATTTTACCTGATTATTCTTTGATCTTTCTAATTCTCTTTGAAGTCTATTAAGACAGTGACTTCCAGATGGTTCAGCTAGAGTCTTGTCCTGGTGAGAGATGTGATGGAGTTGAAGCAGTGTAGGATATGTAGTCAGAGAAATGTAAGATGGAGTCAGAGATGGAGTCAGACATGGAGATGATTTGAGAGACATTGGAATGTGTTTTTCTAAGTGCTATGAGAGTGTTTTTCTGAAGACCTTCAGTGTGGTTTGAGATAAAGCTGAAGGTCGGGCAAAGAGGCCCGTGAAAGACTCAACATTCTGAGCAAATTGGAGAAGAGATAAAACACCTCGATTTTCATGGGAATTGAGGGCGAAGGAAGGTGGTACAGCCCCTTGAGGCTAACTGGTTAACAGACATGAAGTGTCAAGAAGAAAGGAGGAGTTAGAGAATGTAGAAAATGGACAATGGGTTATGTGGGAGAAGTTTGATTCCATGATGAATGAGAGAGAAAAAGAACTTGACGGTTTGAGCATGTGGCTTGAAGGAGAAAGAATGTAAGTAAAGAGAAAGAAGGAGGTGGGGGTAGCGCACTTTAGCCCAGCTTAGTAGTATTTTTTATTTTAATGGGGATTAGTTATTTTATTTAACTAATAAGATTAGCTATTTTATTTAAAATAATTAGTTATTTTATTTCATTTAATCTTTGAATATGTTCTTTATGCTAAAGTTTGAGCAATATAAACTGATTCTATGAAACTCTATTTTTCTAATAAAAATAATTATAAAAATTCTTACAAAAGGACTGGTATCTTGAACAGCAGGGTCTGGCGAAATCCAGGGAGTGGAGAGGACCACAAACTAGCTAGCTTTAAGAGTCCTACCTAACTGAGCTGTTATGAGTTCTAAGGAATCACAGAGCCCATGTGTTTGTACTTGCAAAGTACTGAGTAAAAATAAAGTGTTCTTTTAAGGTCAGACTTGTTCAAGGGGCTTACTCTACACACTGCTGAGGTCTTGGGATTTGCCTCAGTGCAAAGGTGGTAGGTAGGTAAGTGGCCTGTCGAACTCTCTGCCCGAGTGCTAAGTGCTCCTTAGGGAGGCTTGGGCACCACAGGAGACATTCAACATTCATCCATTTTTTTTCTCCTTGGGTTTAGCCTAGCCTCTTCTGATTTAATATTATTTTAGAGCTAGAGATGCATGCAGAAAACATTACATTGATTTTAAACGTTGTCCAGGGGAGGGGGGAATGGTGTCCATTAAGTTGATATTTTTGGTGCTATATTAGGTACTTTATTTCATTAATTATTTGCTAGCACCACTTGAGGGGCAGTGCCTGCCAAATAATAGACTTTTTCAATGGGTACTAGAAAATTTTCACTATTTCCAGGATTACATGAAATAATGTTTTAGCCTCATAATCTTGAAAAGCATGACTAACTTAGAACAGAGCTGTCTCTGCTCCCTCTTTAGAATACACATTCAGATAAAATTGTGGGTAACATGCAAAATGTGTTGTCACAATTGTAAAAACAGGACATGGCCTAGGTTACATTCTCAGTAGATGTGCTTCCCCTAAAATAACTGCAATTGGTCACATGTTTTGGTTTTGGTTTTCCTCTCATGCAAGATATGCAACCTAGAAATCAATCTATTATTCCAACTTTTGACAGTAAAAAAGTCCACTTTGTGTCATAATGATAGTTAAAATAATAGAAGTAAAAGTATAAATTCATATTTAATGATGTGAATTATATTTCACCAAATCCTGCTTTTCTTCCACCTTTGCAGAAAAAATCACTACACTTTTTTATCAGATATCAGGATTGGTCAGAAGTAATGCATAAAAATCCAACTATAAATCTTTTACAAGATGTAGACTGAAAGGATCCTGCTATGTTATCAACTCTGCTACTCACAAAGAGTCCAGTTCCCCAGGAGGTGTCTGTGAGTTGGACATAATCTCTCTCTCTCTCTGCAGCTTCAGTCCCTTGTTGCATGTACCACAGAGAGTAGCATGACCTTAGTCTTCATTTGAGGGCTGCTTATCACAAATCTTAGGTTTTCAGGGCATATTCACATCAGATAATCAAGTATCAACTTTCTCATATTTTAAAATATAGCATGTTTTGAAATAATTGCAGTCTTGTAGAGAGCAACTGGA